TTTGGCAATTTTCCTCCATATACGTTTTCACTTCAGGTGTGTAGAGAGGGGTGTAGAGGAATTGTGATAGATGTGCGAACATATCACAATCAAGCTAAAATTATTCGACTTCATTCAAGGTTTTTACCCCAATGTATATTCGACTTATTACCGTTACTGGTTGGTCACCGAAGAAGTATTTTTTATTCCCGAGAAATTTGCTCATTGCATCAAGATCTTTTTTGGCTAGTATTAAAATCTCTTCTGGTGTGTTTCGACCGAATCCTTGCGATTGGGATTGTTTCAATAACTAAAATTCTTTGTTCAGCCATTAAAAAAAGATTTTTTTCTGAATTTAAATCAACTTACTCTTTTCCGCAGCATTTCGCAAAAAACATTTTTAAATGCGAATTTTTTCACACCTTGAAAATATGGCAAAAAGCCTTGCTCGGTGGCAAACCATTTATTGTCGTGAGCTCGCGAATAGATGAGTACCCTGGAAACGCAAAAATAGTAACAAAATAAATTAGTAAATATTGAAATTTACCATCGTAGACTATCCTCAATCAGGGCATGAAATGCTCGTGCATATGCTTTTTCAATTGGTACAAGACGTTCATCAATTCCTTTCTACAAAACAAAAGCTATAGAAATAATAATAATAACAATAGAGAAAATCAAAGTCAGTGTATTTGCAACTGGCGCGTGCTGGTTACTGTAATCGCAATGCGTGCGCGTCGCTACTGTGCAATTTCTCAAACAAACCGGCCGATTTGCTTGTAAAAGTGCGCATTTGCGAATGAATTTGAATTCAGTAGTAAGAAAATGACAAATTTTCATTCGATAAATTAAGAAGTCGAAAATTTTGCAGCAAAAAAAATCTCCAAAAAGAGATTATCCATATGGTGTAAGAAAAGCTTAGTTTTGCGTACACCATGTCTCCTTTTAAACAGTTTTTCTTCTCGGGTTCTTCCAGGAGAATTTTCTCCAACTCCGCTGCTATTTAACTTCTTGGCACTGAGGCGACTAGTTTGATCATGTGGGGTGTAAGAAAAACCGAAGTAAAAGTGGTGACGAGGGTTAAGGGTTGATACCTTGAAGAGTAATCAAGTCAATAAGTGATTTGAATTTAGGGAATATAGCTAGTTGATGGAGAAAATTTGAAATCATTGTTTCCACTATATTTGCTTGTTTTTCCTTCTAAAGAAAGGAAAATCCCCTTTTAGCGAAGTTCTCGTGGATTGATGGCACAACTAAATCAATCAATCGAAACACGCTATGATTAAAAGTGCGCATACTCTTTTTTTACTTGATTGTCTAGATGAAACCGGTTTGCCAAAGCAAAAAAAATTGAAGCAGCCCGGGTATAAGAAACATAAAGGAGCTATAAAAGGGGGATTGTTATTGGAAATTTTAAGAAATTTCAAGATGCAGTACCAGGATAAGGTAAGGGGTAATCTTAATTTGGCAAGATTTCATGAATTCTACCCAATGGATGTGACGTGAAAATGAAAACGGGGTTGGAGAAAGCACTAACGGTTTCGCACTGCACATTATATAAACGCTAATTTATTTAAACTACGATTCATTAAAAATAATTGAGAAAGAAGCTTACCTTGTGGAACTCTTCAATCAAATGATCAATAATAAAATTGCTGTCTGCAATTTGTCGTCCATTCACTTCAATAAATGGTATCTGACCTTTGTTGGAGAATTTTGTGAAGTCATTACTGATGTTCTGCAACATGTGAACATACCATCTACTACTTCATACGAAAACCTATTCCCTTACCGTGTACGGTATACCAGCCATCCTAAGCCATGTTTCTACTTTGAACGCAAATGGAGATGGTGATGGAATACACCCAGCTCGAGGAAATTGGACCAAATAGACGTGGTCCTTCTCCCAATCACGTTTTAATAGTCTAGTGCCGGGCATTCAACTGAAAAAAAAAAACAGATTGACTGAAACTCCTCAAAACGGCTTCAGAACTGGCAAGTCGAAGTCGAAAGGGACAAATAGCGTAGATGAGAAGAATTGATGAGCGGAAAATCAATCATTTTGTAATTTAGTAGAAGAAAGGTGTCTCGTGAAGTGCAATTCTAAACTTTAATAATGCTTTGAACAGGAGAAAAAGAGCTAAAAAGAGCTGTATTGTTTATTTGGAAGCTCTAGTGAATATTTTGTTCCTCGATTTCAATGCTTTGGTAATAATAGGCTGTCAAAAAAGTTTGCGAGGTTCTCTCTGCTATTAAAATATAGAAAATTTTGGTATGGATTTATATTTCATTGAAAGATTCGACTTTTGCCCTACAAGATGATGGCTCGCCTGATAACCAAAGCCATACCTTAACTTATAAAAAAACCATCTAAGAAAGTTGTTTTATAGAACAAAAAGAGCTATTTTAAAGTGACCTTTGTTGAAAGAATCGCTGAATTTAACTGTTGAATCAATTAAAATGCTAAAAATATCGTATCTCCGCACATTAGAGATTACGTCTTATATTCTTGTCAGATTTATGTATTTGAATAGAGGCGATCTAGCCGGCTATTTAGCTGAAGATCACGAATAGCATACTCATGGTGGTGTACTTCGCAAGTTAGACGCAAAATTAATCAAACTCCCCTTCCAATCAGTTATTATGCCCATTTTGTCGTCTATCTCTAATCCTACAATAAAGCCCTATAT